ACACACGGGTTTGTATGCTATACATCAAGAGACATATACAGTACGTATGGGGGTAAGGAGATTGAGTAATTTGCAGGAAAGAGTAAGGTAGTTGAAACATACTTGGCCTGGACAGAGACATACGGCTGTTGGGAGAAGCGTGTATCGGCAGTCCGGGAGTGGATCAATTTACTGGGATTTTGAGAAAACCATTTGATGGAATGTATAACAGTGTAAGGATAAAATGATACGCAAAGTTATGAAGTGACACTTATAGGGTTTGGATAGGATTTTATAGGGATTTGAAGGGGACTGGGTTTTGACTGTATGATCGAGAGATGGACATGGGATATACAAGGATCGTAGAGAATTGTACAAAAAAACTTATGTAACATACATAATTGGTTTGACGCCCTATTAGTTTTAAAATAAATAAGGGAAAAAAAATCGCAAACCGTTATTCATGAAATATATCCCATGTGCAAATGTAAAAGTCAGACACAAATTTGATGCACATTTTACAGAGCACAGATATACAAATATATATAACTGTTGATTTTATAGTATCAAGCTTTAAAGCGTGTTTAAAGAGATCATTTTTCAAAGACATGTTGAGTGAGATGTATGGCGATCCTTATATCCCGCGGGAGGCTTGGGGATTGTTCCGTACAGTTGTTACCGATTAGTTACCACATCGGTTTTCGTAATTAAGGCGCAGGTTTCCGGAACAGACCGAAATGTGCCAAACTGCGGCACTTGTTGAATGTTGAGTAACACAAGATAATTAAGATACGCTAACAAGCTTCAAGGAAGGGCCTTATATACGTATACTAGAAACCCGTTACAGAGACTCGTTTCTACTGGCAGAACGCGGAAGAATTTTAGACAGAACGCGGAAGAATTTTAGACAGAACGCGTATTAACACGAGAATTTCTACAGAGTGCTAGAGTCCAATATAGATGTCACTAAGAAACTCGTGTCTTGACATTTTACGACTTATATTATTGACTTCGAAGTAGCATGATATACAGGATGATGCTAGCTGCTTTTCGTAGCCAGAAATACAACGACAAGTATCCATAAAATCCTCAAAATGGCACTGTGTCTGTGACAACGGTACAAACTTCAATCTGAAATGGAGATATGCCTATACATTTTTTCGTGTGTGTTTGAAAGCAACCTAACAGGGTAATGATTGAAATTTAGCATATTGGACCTCACATTTGATATCAAAAAACACTTACTTCCCATATAGCTCTGATATAGCTGAGAAAATGTCGAATTTGTCACGCGGTTTTAAAATTACTTGAACTTAGGTATCATCAGCATGGCAATGATATGAAAGCGTGTGTCTTCATCTGGTATATTAACAATTTTTGCTATTACTTGCGACAAGCAGAAATCATTGTAGGACTTAAAAAACTTAACAGTCAAGAGTTCTGTAATTACAATAACGTTACCTATTACCATCTGTAGCGTAATGTCTGAACATAAGATACAGGACATTGCGTCAATAGATATAACTTATGCAGTTTCCATGCGTTTGAACAGCTTGTCATGATCAATGACAACATATATAGCAGTTGTTTATCCAAGACTGCTGCAATATGAGAGAGTCATCTTAGAAGATGAGTACCTACTGAGTGGTATGGACGGTTAACAGAGTGTAGGTAATCGTGAAGTTAGTTGCCTTCAGTATTTCTCCAATCACTTGGCAACCAGAGCTACGGACAGGTAACATGGACCCCGACTTGTATACCGGTCGGTTGTCCTAATTTTCTCTCTTGATTCTCACAAACTAGTTTAATCACTGAATATTTACATTTGCACTGCATAGGGCTTAGATAACTCTACTGGTCCCATTGTAACATATTTTCCAATGAACTACAACGGGGATTAGGTCAGTGTAGTGATACACTGCCCTAATTACCGCCAAGTGGCGATGTTCCGCTGTGTTGTGTCTTAAAATGTTATTGTAAGACAGTTAAATCGCTAAATGACCACAACATATATTAAAATGGTCACATGTAAGTATACAAATTGGTAATTGACATATATGCATTTAAATAATTTTTTTTTTTTTTTATTAAATTGATGTGTTTACTGTGGAACTTTCTTGTTTATTGTTTTTGTCGGCCTGGTTGCCCTTGACAACGACTGTGGAATGCGAAACTACCCGGCTGTTCCGAACAATTTACCGCTGACCCAGTCGGTGTGTAAAAGAGATTTAAAACAGCAATTACCAATACTCGCAACATTGCACAACTAATATTGTTGGTTTGGAGTATAAAAATAAGGATTAGTTTTCATATTTTTGACGTTTATTGGCGTGTAAACTACATCGGGCTTGCGATATATTAAACATGGTGCGCTAACGCGCATCATTCAATAAACGTCAAAAATATGACAACCAATCCTTATTTGGCAAATCAAAGCTGTTTTGAAACAGGCGGGGACCTCGAACTCAGATTTTTGTTGACATTGGAGTGATTTGAGTAGGATAGGGCAAACTAAGTATTTACAGGGTTAATATATATACATGCGGTACATTTGTAGTTTGAGAGATTGCATACGGGCATTGGAGAAGAACGTGTTTTAGAGCCGACTTTTCGTGTGAGCATAATGCAACTGATACGTTGTTGACGATATCACACGTGATACCCAATACCAATATCGGATTTGGAATTGAAATATAAATATTTAATTGGGCGAGCTTTTAAAAATAGGAAACGAAATAATTACATGTGTGTCAGTTAATAAAGGATATGGCAGTCCATTGAAGGTATCATTGAGTACGATATAAACACATTAATAATTCAGAATTGCTTTTAAATGCTATCTAACTCCCTATAACCACTCTCAATAAATGTACTAAACGACCATTCCAACTTTAGCGAAACATGTATTTCTGAAAACACCATTACGCTGTTCCTCTACTTTTAGTGGTCTACTGAATAGAGCAGCAGGTTATTGCAATGATATAATCTGCAATTTCATTAAACCACACCAGACTTAAGCTATTGCAAAATTAAATATATTCATTTGACTTTTCACATATTACATTATGTACACTTGTGTTCCATTTTTGTTGGAATAGGTATGCACACTGTCTAATTTAATAAGTTTAATGTTTCTGTACACGAGTATTATGTACAAAATGGTATGTGATCGGATAGGGTTCAGTTTTTATAACACTGTTCAACTTATCAATATATACATAGTGTAATGTATTATATTCCAAGTCGTGTCTCATTGGATATGTATTACGTTTGTAATAAAAATACGCCTTAATAATGCCTTGTAAACGTATCATTGTTGTTCATGATACAGTTTATCACGTGCCAATAGTTAGAGATAGTTTAAATGAAATAACTTATTGTATGTTTGTTGATGCCGAGAATTTCCGGCAAAAAGTATTATGCATGCCAACCAAATATTATTTGGTGAAAGTTTTAGGCAATTGGCTAAGTATTTCAACCATACACTGTTGGGTGAGAGTTTTAGGCAATTGGCAAAGCATTTCAACCATACACTGTTGGGTGAGAGTTTTAAGAAACACATATATGCATACTGATTTAGCCGTACACTGTTGGGTTTAGAGTCTTTGACAAATATCTAAGTTAGCAGACGTACATTTTCACTACATTTTTGTAAGAGTCTTTTGACAAATAACTATGCTAGCAGACGTACATTTTTAGTAAGATTCTTTGACAAATAGATATGCTCGCAGACGCACATTTTATTAAGAGTCTTTGACAAATAGCTATGCTAGCAGACGTACATTTTTAGTAAGAATCTTTGACAAATAACTATGCTAGCAGACGTACATTTTTATTAAGAGTCTTTGACAAATAGCTATGCTAGCAGACGTGCATTTTTACTACATTTAGATAAGAGTCTTTGACAAATAGCTATGCTAGCAGACGTACATTTTTAGTAAGAGTCTTTGACAAATAGCTATGCTAGCAGACGTACATTTTTAGTAAGAGTCTTTGACAAATAGCTATGATACATGTAAGTATATAATGCGCCTTACATCTCTCCCGCCGGTTTTCCTGATCATATGTCCTGATGTCTTCAAAGAGGCCGAAGATACGACATGTGACAGCAGTGATCAAACAAACCGCTACCCCGTGTGTACAGTAAAATAAAATCAACATTATCTTCTGCAACCGACACCTTCAGCTACAAAAACAAAAAGGCAATATGTCTTATATTGCTGTTTTATGTCATTGCTGTGCTTGTGATGTCGAACGTGATCAAGTATGCACTACCCGTAGCCTTAAAATTACCTAGTGTTTTATAAGAAGTGACAGAGGAGAGTTACCGTATCTATTTATAGTAAAGAAATGATAACTCCAATACAAATATGTCTGCCATTATTATATAAAATATGCATAAGTGCTTGTTATTTCACCGATATTAAATATTTTGGTACTGAACATGACCTTGTCTTACATGACTTGACCTTGAGTGACCTCGATGATGACAAGCAAACTAACACAACATATATGGATGTTTTGTGTGTGACTGTGTGTCAATGTTGCTGTGTATAGAAACGAGGATGTATTCATATAATCATTAAGTCATTTTTATGATAATTTCATAGTTAGACAACTTAATAACCTTCAGAACAATTAGATTTCATCGCATTTCCTTCATCACACCCAGTAAAACATGGAGACCCCTGTCACTTACGGTACAGTTGTGGAATAGCAAAACGTGTGCGAACGATGTGTGGACGATTTTACCTATGACAAACAAGTCAGTAGGTTTTTGTAAATGTGGGCAGGAATTAAATCCTATAGTTTTAATGTCAACAAACTTAAACTGTGATGAATGTACATATCGTAATCCTACCTTCGCTGATTTAGCATATTGTTCAGGTTAGATACGTTGATCTCTTGGCGTTAATCATTTGTGTTATGTCTCCGTAATCTAAACGCTTAGAAGACAGATAGTTTTAGAGGTACAATTAAAACGTACAGGTGAGTATACCTCCCTCGCCGCTAGGTGTCGCTAAGATAGCAAGAGGGTATCAATAGGCAGAATCCAGCAACAATCTCCCCAGTTCTGTTCTGATCTCGGCGTGTGTACAGCATTGACAGATCGTAAGTACCTAATATATGTGAGACCGGCTTTGTGTTGGAAAGATAGAAGTGACTGAATAAGTCTTGCCTTGATCCACATACTGCATGGAAGGTAGCGAGATACTGTTAGACAGAAAGTGTCACGGGCATAGGCTAACGTTATGCAGTGCTAGTCGTGACTAGGTAAAGTTGTTACGAGCTAGTCGCGACCAGGCTAGTCGTGACTAGGGTAGTCGTGACTAGGTATAGTTGTTAGAGGTAGTCGTGACTAGGGGTAGTCGATACCAGGCTAGTTGTGACTAGGGTAGTCGTGACTAGGTATAGTTGTTAGAGCTAGTCGTGGTTATTAGAGCGTCGTAGTTGTATATCAGTATGTATAAGGCTGTCGTGCTCGACACGACTAGGTCATGTAAATAGCTGACTATATGGCAACTAAAGTGACTAGAGCTAGCCGCGACTACACGTAGGAAGTCGAGTTGTGTACTGCCTGAGTGTGTGTAGTGTGCTATATTAATACAGAGCAGATAGCTTTGGTAATATAGTTCGATAGTCGTGCAGTAATTATTCTGTTCATATCATGTATTAAGCATTAGGTAATAGGTATGCTGGTTACAAGGTAGTAACACATATTTGTATATATTTGCAACTGTAGTATAGTTATAATTAAGCCTACAGCACAGGGATCCTTAGAAGTGACTAGGGTACGGACCCCGGAACGTTACAAAACTACCTAATAATATACTAGACAATAACTTGATAACCTTCCAAAACCAAGGAGACACCATCTCATTTCCGTTTATAAGTGGACACCTCCGTTGCAATAAGTAAAATATGAATGTCATTGTCACTCAAGGTAACAGATACCAGCTTTGTCGTTTCTGGTAACGCGTAAATATCGTCACTTCCGGTAAGACGTGAACATCGTTCCTCACTTCTGATCATAAATGGATACTGTCGACACAAGACTGTGCTTAAAAATAACAACAAATCAACACAACTGCTACATGTATTTGATGTCAAAGGGCTTGGTCAGCGTCTTTGCTTTCTTCGACGATATCTTCCTTGTAAAATTTGTATAGTTTCATCCGTATTCATTTTGCCAGCAGTATATGCAATGGTGTTTGCAGACCAATGTCAACTTACAGTTCATTTGTCTACAAGCAAACAAAAATGATCTACTACATGTAGTTTGTTTATTTGTTTTCATTGAAACGACCACACGGATACTACAGAAATGAATTATATAATGTCCGTTTGATCGAATCATCAAAAAGAAATAAACAAACTAAAACATAGTATAGTTTGTTTAATACAAGCGTATTGTTATTTTAACATCGAGGTCAAGATATTGGATTTCAAAACTCCTTATTGTGTGGTAGACTGCCTTTGTAGCTTTACTAATAGATTATATTTAGATCGTCATTAACTGCGTGTCCATCTGGACCATAATGGTAAGGAGCTGCAGAACAAAACATGCAGAAGAGAACATTATTCAAAAGGCATCTAAATTTAGCTGTTCAAATGATTCCTAAAGGTTACGATGCTCGGAAATATTCCGTAATTATCTCTTAATAAGAGCTGTATCAAAGAGTGTAGATGCTGTACCGTGATAGTTGTCATTTTCATAAAACAACAAAAATAAATTCCTATACCATTTTCTTATTTAGCTGTCATTGAGAGGGATGTGTTCGCTGTCATTATGACGGATGTGTTCGGTGTCATTGAGAGGGATGTATTCGCTATCATTGAGAGGTATGTGTTCGCTGTCATTGAGAGGGATGTGTTCGCTCATTGAGAGGGAATTGTTCGCTATCATTGAGAGGGATGTATTCGCGATCATTGAGAGGGGTGTATTCGCTATCATTGAGAGGGGTGTATTCGCTATCATTGAGACAGATGTGTTCACTATCATTGAGAGGGATGTATTCGCTATCATTGAGAGGGATGTATTCGCTATCATTGATAGGGATGCATTCGCTATCATTGAGGGGGGTGTATTCGCTATCATTGAGAGGGATGTATTCGCTATCATTGAGGGGGGTGTATTCGCTATCATTGAGAGGGATGTATTCGCTATCATTGAGAGGGATGTGTTTGCTATCATTGAGAGGGGTGTATTCGCTATCATTGAGAGGGATGTGTTTGCTATCATTGAGAGGGGTGTATTCGCTATCATTGAGAGGGATGTATTCGCTATCATCGAGAGAGTTGTATTCGCTATCATCGAGAAGGATGCATTCGCTATCATTGAGAGGGATGCATTTGCTATCATTGAGGGGGATGTATTCGCTATCATTGAGAGGGATGTATTCGCTATCACTGAGAGGGGTGTATTCGCTATCAATGAGAGGGGTGTGTTCGCTATCATTGAGAGGGGTGTATTCGCTATCAATGAGAGGGGTGTGTTCGCTATCATTGAGAGGGGTGTATTCGCTATCATTAAGAGGGGTGTACTCGCTATCACTGAGAGGGGTGTATTCGCTATCACTGAGAGGGGTGTATTCGCTATCATTGAGAGGGGTGTATTCGCTATCAATGAGAGGGGTGTGTTCGCTATCATTGAGGGGGGTGTATTCGCTATCATTGAGAGGGGTGTACTCGCTATCACTGAGAGGGGTGTATTTGCTATCATGGGAGGGGTGTATTCGCTATCAATAAGAGGGGTGTGTTCGCTATTATTGAGAGGGGTGTATTCGCTATCATTGAGAGGTATGTATTAGCTATCATCGAGAAGGATGTATTCGCTATCATTGAGAGGGGTGTTTTTGCTATCATTGAGAGGGGTGTATTCGCTATCATTGAGAGGGTCGTATTCGTTATCACTGAGAGGGATTTGTTACGTGCCATTTGAAGGGAAGTTTACACTGCCGTACTGTATTTTATGTTAATAACACTAACTGCCCGATTCATCACGGAAATAAAATGAGAGATCGTCAATTACGTTTCAATCATCACAATTCCTTTATCATTGATCGTTTCCAAACAGTTGTCGATATTGTTAGATTTTTAGGGAAACGTTAGATCGATAGAATAATCAAAAACGATTCCGTTCACCCTACGAATAAATCAGTTATTTCCAATCGTTTGAATTGACGAAAGCTAATGTATTTGCGCTTCAGTAGGAACACACGACCAAGTAATGTATGTTTTATTTAGATCGTAATCAAAGAGACATTGGCAGATCCGTTTTGTCTTTGGATAGGGGTTGGGGGTTAAAACAGTTTTTCATAAAGGAATAGAATGCAACGGATGTCGGTATTTTGCAGAAACATTTTAAGAGCGTCATTTCAAAGCAGCAATTAAGTTGATATAAAGACGGCCGGCTAAAGGGAGATACCACTGAAAAGAGAGAATAGGGCACCGAGATAGGAAAATATCCCTAGTGTTGCAGTGGGGGCAACATATCAATCTTGGGAATGTCTTTTCCATTACAGGGATGAACGATCTATTTGGAACGTACCGACATTCTACCGAGATCGTAAAGAAACTTCCCTACAGGTTGGGGAGTGAGAAAAGAATACACCAGCTGGTACCCACTGCATGGTTGTAGGAGGCTGCCAATGTGAGAACCTCCTGCAGAATTGGAGATTTGTGTTTGTGCTCTCTACTTGGGGACACAAAGCGCAAATAAAAACTTCTGCACCCATTGCAATATTTTGCATATTTAACTTTTTTCCTACCGGTTGTTTCTTAGCGCCTTGCTTGGCAAAAATTCACTTTTGGTTTAAGTGTTGAACGTTCAACCGGGTGAGGATATACCAAAGTTCTTCAAATGGTACTTGTTATTCCATGCTTAACGTTCAGAATTTAGGGTAATGACATCAACTGGTTCAACTTTTGTCAGTATAATGTGACTAGTTGGAATGCTGAGCTTGGTGCCTTCGCTATGATATTACAGTGATATAGCACTAAAAAGTCAGCATTGGATCCGCGCTATCACAAAAATGCAATCAACAGAATATGCCTCTAGCACACAAACAAACATGCGCGCATACACATCGCACATGGAGACACGTCCTGAAATGTTAATAGGACGTTGAACCCTATAAAACCAACCAACCAAATCTTTAAGAACGTATCAGAAGAATCATAAATATTTCCGCTCTCGCGTGCTAATACTGAAGTATATATGAATGCCCTTGACAACCCCATACTGAAGATTGGCGGTCGATAAACCCGGGGATCAAATGCGCCCACACTGTGTACATATTCTCTGTTGTTTTAAAAAGGTGACTGATAAATATGGCAGGCGGCGTCAATCGTCCAAGCCATCAGATACCAGCTGCCAAAGCTCCTTGTATGGCGGAAATGTGGTGTGACGTCACATGCTAGGCGCGCGACCCCCACGAGAGGTCTTTCACGCACTATCGCCTCACAAACAGGACAAGTTCCACGGGTAGACATGTGTATATCAATCCGCTGTCACACTATTAAATTGTTATAGTCAGGCCAAATGCGTTAGTAATTTGGCTCATCAGTATGTATATTAACTGAAGTTTTGCCAGGTTTTCGATCAGACATTAGCTTTCGCCAGGGGATTGTTGGCGGATGCACTTTCTATACAAGCGTATAATATACATGATCAAAGAGAGAGTCATCCAGGCCTTGTTTGCAGAGAGGCAGGCGATTTATCAGATACCGAATATATCTCCGTGTTATAAAGACATACTTCCTTAATTACATTAATATCAATAAAAACATGACAGGTCGGTCCTCCGGGGTAAATTTGGAAGTTATCACTGTTGCGTATAGCACCTGCGGGGGAGAGGTGATTGTTCAAAAGGTGCTTATACTGAAAGCAGCAATTGCCTGAACAAACAACGATAACTGTATGAACGGTACCGTCGCTATGTTATGAACAATGAATATTGCTAGTCTGAAAAGGAAGGCCAAATCTTTAGGGATTGATACGTGTGTAAGGCACTTAACATGCCTCGTTACTGTATAGAAATGACAACATACCACACTTATTTAAAACCACGGCGTCCATTTGTAAAAGAGCAATCACAACATGAAATCATACTTTTCCGGGACGGAACGATTGACTGGGTTAGGGAGACGAGAGGGTATTCTCCTGTATTCCCTGATGTCAACACTTGACCTATTTTGGGAGACAAGGAGTTTGCTGAGACAGGATAAAGACTCCAGTATTCCCCAAGTATATTTTTGATTCACGGCAGGAGGGAAGGGGCTAGTTCTGACTTTAGTTTTAACAGTTAACCAACTACATGTATATCTGTGTGGAGGGTGTGTGCTAGACTTATAATAGTATCTGTGTTAGCCTTTATTAAGGGGTGGGTTTGTAGTGGAGGTGTCAATTCAACTAATGAACAGTTTCAAGTATTCGGCATCTTAACACAGTAAGGAAGACAGCAGTCGAGCGGAAGCGGAGACGTCCATCCGGCTGTCACTGCTGGTAAGGTAACAGATATCGTCTCACGCCTTGGTTATTCCTAGTGACGACCCAGTGCACTTTCCCCATACGACATGTCAACAAAGTAAAATAAGCGTTTTATCAACCTTGATTATCGCTAACACCGAGAAGTTACGGAGTCAAATTCTCCATTAGCTCCTCGCAACTTAATTACCGGAACAAGCATGACTGTGCGCCTAGAGTGAACGATAATGAAGTCATTCATTCAGTACGGAGTGTTGTTCACAAGGACGAGTTACCAAATACAAGAAACCCTCGTTAGATCATAATCATACTCACACAAATAGATTGACACAGAAACCAGTTAAATGTAAGCGTTAGAGATGACGTGTTCACAAATGATGTTGGCCATAAAACTGATTGGGAATCCCAAATGAACCCTCATTGTCATGTTTACGAACGTTTTTTTTTTTTTATTACCAAAACGAACAAGATTTTAATTCGAATTCCGATGATTTGAAAAACCATTGCATGGGAAGTTAATTTTCAAATCCAATACCCTCGACGACCTTTGGCAATCAGACACGCTAATATGAGTATCCATTGCAGAGCACGTGCCCAGGATACGGTTGATTTAAAGAGTAAAACTGTTATTTCTAATTTCCGGTTCTAGTTTTTCCGGATTTTTATATTTACTTTGTTCATCTCGACCGTCCTTGAGTCGCGCTGTGTTTGATGTTGCCGGTAACAAACCATTCCTATCAGCATGCTGAAGCCTGATGGGATGCTTCCTTAATTTAAATAGGAAATATCCGAATGTAATAATAATAATAATACCACAAATTCGAGGTTCTTATATACCGCTTTATCACAACCTAGTTCGTAGGTCGTCTCAAAGCGGTTCACAAATTAGACAAGCATATTTTAATTCCGATTTTATAATTGATAGGAAAGACAGAAAATGGATTAACGTTACTTTGTATATTGATAAAGTATTGCTTACTCATTACGCAGGTTTTATATCCAATTCCAATTCGTTATCGTCGTACAAGCGATTCAGCTTATTTATATTATTGATACAATACTATATGTATACTATGTATAATGCACAATATAATGCCATACAAAGTCAAGTCATCCACTTCCAAGGTGTGACCTAAATTCAAAAGCTTTACACAAACAGTTCCCGAAACTATACAGTTCCGTAACATTTTGCTTTACTTTACAATTTTAATAGTTTATAAACGTATGGCTTACAGCGGTAATAGGATTTTGACAGTTTTTGGCGAAGGAAATCATTTTCTTTACATTTAAAATTCATTGTGGAATTCACTCTCTACTTCAGTAGTGCCTATCGGACAGATACGGGGAGAAAAAAAAGTTATATGTGATATGATATGTGATGTTGTTAAACCTGTATTTATTACTGATAAGTACCATTGAACAAACGTCTGCTGTTAAAACAATCTTCGCGATAATTACAAATTTAACTGATGTTATATAGGGATTGAACGGTGTTTTTCTTTAATTTTCATGCAGGTATATTTACATTTTTACTATAGAATAATGTTTGAGCTTATTTATTTGTATTTAAATAATTTATTTAATTACTGCGTTTTGTTTATGCGTCGTCCTTTAGACGACATTGGCGGAACAGCCATTTTGAAATAAAATCGGCGCCAATAAGTAACCGTAGTCATTTGAGTGTTTGACGTAGGGGCATATTCTATGTTAACCGAAGCGGAGCGACAAGACTATAATTGAACAAGGTTAACCTATGACGTCAAAAGTACAGTGTAAATCACGTGTTATGTCACGAGAGTTTTTGCTTTCGTACTCAAATATTTCAATTCCTACTCAAGATGGACTCAATGCAACTACCAAATGTAACCTGTTTCATTTGCCGATGAATTTGACCAGATCAACATTACCTGTGCATATGATTTTGCGAAGGGAGATAACTATATATTGACATGTTTAGACAATGATACCACTTGAGATTCCACATTTATATTGAAGCAACACAAGAAATTGTTCAAACAATCAAAAACGATCAATCAACAAAATAGTATGAGCTCACGGTTGCTTGCGGTGGTGACAGTTCTTGTACTGCCCTTAAAATTCTCCTTCCAGTTACCCGGTACAGACCGAAAACGTAGATTCACGGGGGTTCGTTACAAATGTCTGAAATACACATATCATGCTATAACTGATATGGGTCTGAGCACACATAAACAAACATATAGATTATGTGACCCATACCAGTATTGCAAATGTGTATTTCAGACGTTTGTAACGAACTCCTGTGGTAGATCCATGTGGTCCCGTCTTATATGAAATACCTCGAATAGGCAAATGTCATTTTAAATGTTTCGTCTGTTCAAACCACGTCTAGTTTCCAGTGTTATTCGACATTCAATAACTGCAGCTTCCAAAAGATGTAAAACCTCGAAATTGAGCGGCTCTCCACTACTAGCTAATATAAAGATGGCTGCCGTAGACTCGCAGCTGAGCCTGTGCACCGCGTCTAGAAATTAATCTTCCGCGATGACGCATCAGAAAATGTGATATCTTATGAATTCATCAGCAAAAATTAAACATGACATTTAAAATATGGTTTTGTGTTTTGATTCTACATAAATTGGCTCTATTGAACTATCAACGTACACTATCATGTTGTATGATGGTCCTTCAATGACGGGCTATATATTTGTTTTACATTACGTCAATATGTAGACTTGAACAAGCTCCAGAACCTGGGACAAACGATCAGAATGGACTTCACAAGTTCAATTATCGAAAAAACGCGTTGATCGAAATATAAGGGTTGAATCTTGCTTTGGTCGATTTCATGGGGTGATGAATTGAGTCAGGCCAAATGCGTTAGTAATTTGGCTCATCAGTATGTATATTAACTGAAGTTTTGCCAGGTTTTCGATCAGACATTAGCTTTCGCCAGGGGATTGTTGGCGGATGCACTTTCTATACAAGCGTATAATATACATGATCAAAGAGAGAGTCATCCAGGCCTTGTTTGCAGAGAGGCAGGCGATTTATCAGATACCGAATATATCTCCGTGTTATAAAGACATACTTCCTTAATTACATTAATATCAATAAAAACATGACAGGTCGGTCCTCCGGGGTAAATTTGGAAGTTATCACTGTTGCGTATAGCACCTGCTGGGGAGAGGTGATTGTTCAAAA